CTTTAGCACTGTAGCCCCGGTAACCAGCACAAGGCATAGAGCTGGTGCTCCGAGGATGTTCTGAACGCATCCTAATATTTTGGTTCTGTTATAATTATAAGAATGTTGTTTGTCTCTCCTCTGCATTGTAGGCTTCTGGCACAGAATTAAGGCTTCTTCTATAAACATCTATAAACGTTTGCTGACATGGGCTGAGTGATAGATTTGGAGAAGCGAGGGGGGTGGGGTCTCGATCTTGCTTCCCTAGGCCTGTCTCTCTGGCTCAAACCCACAGCGCAGGGACAAAAGTCTGACAAACCACCAGCCTTAGCAACGCGGGCGGAGCTGAGCCCGCTGGTTGCTCAGGCGCGTCACTTCCGGTAACCGCGGCCGCAGAGAACCACTTCCGGGGGTGAGGCCCGGGCGGCGCGGGAGGTGAGTGCGGCGGCAACGCCGGCGGCCCGGCGGGGCTCGGGCGGGGCGGAGTCGCTGCGGCGGCGGGAGCGCGGGTTCGAGCGGGGCCCGCGGCTCTGCGGTCCCCGCGGCTCTGTTCCGCCGGCTTCAGTCCCTCCGCGCGCGGCCAGAGTAACTTCTCAGGGGCCGTTAGGAAGTTACCTGCGGAGGGAAGTTGAGTTCCCGGGAAGCGGAGGCCTCGCCTGGTGCCGTCCCGGCCGGAACCCGGCGTTCCTCGCGGTCGTGATCGGACCTTTCCTCCGACCGGTGGAGCCAGACTCCGGGGTTCGAGGCCTGAGTGCCCCGCGGTGCTATGTGTGCCCGCGGGCCATCTCTGGCCTCCTCGGCTTGACCTGAGGATGAAATGAGATGCTAATGAGATGCTGCATGCGAAGCAGGTGTTGTAGGTGCACAGTGCGTGTTGGGTGAATTCTTTGCAGAGCAGCTGGGAAGCGAGTGTGTGAAACCTCACACTTTCTAAATGGTGTAACAAATTCTAGTTCGTGAATTACATTTTACAGGACCCCTGGACCCCTGTTTCAGCCTGCTTACTGGCTTCCAGTTTGATTCTGCAGAAGTTTAACCCACTTCGGAGCATTCTTGGGGATTTGTTGTAATGAGATGGGTCTGGTTATACACAACCCATTGCTATAGGACAGTGCCCAACTCATGACACTGATTTTTCTATTCCCTAGTCTGTTCCAGTTGACATCTCAAAACAGAATTTTATTATTTTTTTTAAATGCATGCCTTTAAAAAATATTTTTAAAAATTGATTTCAGAGAGGAAGTGATGGGGAGAGAGAGAGAGAGAAACATTAATGATGAGAGAATCATTGATCGGCTGCCCTCCTGCACGTCCCACAATGGAGACAAACCTGGCAAATTCCGGTAACCTCAGCTACAGCACCTGTGGGCTCAGAACAGAATTTTAAAATCGCTTCATTAGAAGCCAAAAATCCCATACCAACATACGCGGAATCTAGGTTTTTCAGTCTTGGAGAAGATTTTATTTCTATTTGCTAAGTCTGGAGAGCTATAAACTTCTCCAGGTTATTTGTTTTGAAATGTTGACTTTTTCAATAAACTTTTATTTTAGAACAATTTTAGATTTACATAATTATTATGAAGATACTACAGTGAGTTCCCATATGCCCCACACCAAATTCCCCCATTTACATCTTACATTAGTAAAGTATATTTTTCACAATTAATGAACCAATATTAGTAACTTATTAACTAAAGTCTATGCTTTATTCAGATTTGCTCAATTTCCCCCCCTAATGTCCCATCCAGGATGCCACATTATTTTTAGTGGTCGTATCTTATTAGGCTCTTCTTGGCTATGATAGTTTCTCAGACTTTGCTTGTTTTAGATAAACTTGACAGTTTTGATTATTACTAGTCAGATATTTTATAAAATGGCCCTCATTTGGGTTTGTCTATTGGTTTTCTCCTGATTAGATTGGAGTAATAAGCTATAGGGAGGAAGACCACAGAGATAAAATGCCATTCTTATCACATCACATCAAGGGCATATACTACCAAATGTAAGTTATCACTGTTGACATTTGGATGATTTGCTTGAAGTAGTCAGATATTTACATTACGATTCATTAACAGTAGCAAAATTACAGTTATGAAGTAGCAACGAAAATAATTTTATGGTTGGGGGGTCACCACAACATGAGGAACTGTATTAAAGGGTCACGGCATTACAAAGGTTGAGAACACTGCTCTATATTGTCATTTATTTAAAGTGCTGGCTAATAAAGTTAAAAAGAAAAAGTGCTGGTTACAGCTTTAGAAATGGTTCCCACAGCCGGCACCGGTTTCGCTCAGTGGATAGAGCGTTGGCCTGCGGACTCGATTCCGGTCAAGGGCATGTACCTTGGTTGCGGGCGCATCCCCAGCGGGGGTGTGTGTGTGTGCAAGAGGCAGCTGATGGATGATTCTCTCTCATCGATGTTTCTAACTCTCTATCCTTCTCTCTTCCTCTCTGTGAAAAATCAATAAAATATATTTAAAAAAAAAAAAGAAAGAAATGGTTCCCACAGCTGTTTGAAAACCATTGGTGAGAGTTCAGGGTCTGGAGGAGTGAGCCAGTTTCAATCCTGACTTCGCCACTTCTCAGCCAAGTAATCCCTGGCCGGGCCATGGAAGCTCCCTAAACCCGGTTTCCTCATCCTCATTGGTAATGCCTGCCTCCCAGATTGGTTGTAAGGTGAATGAGGTGAGTGTGTGTGTATTCTGGAAAATGATGTTTTTCTGTTACAGCTGTGACAGTGGCCAGGGTGTGTTGGGGGGATGGGAAGTGAACAAAGTCTGATACAGGAAGCCTGAGGGTAATGCTCCTAACTGAGAACTAAAGGATGAGTAGGACTCTTGTGACTTGTGTAATCAGGAAAGGAAACCCAGAAATACTGGCAGGCAGGCTGGTGTTGCTGGTGACTACCATATTAACGAGCACAAATATAGAACATTTCCATCTTTGCAGAAAGTTTTATTGGACAGTGCTTCATTAAACCCTGTAAAAGTCTTGTGAAAGAAGTTGATAGGACATGGATTTTCCTTTTAATTTTTAAATTTTGTAATTATTATTTTTAAAATTCTTAATGGAGGCTATGCTTATTGAATTTAGAGGGGAAGGGAGAGAGCAAAACATAGGTGTGAGAGAGAACTATTGGTCGCCTTCAGATATGTCCAGGAATTGAACATACAACCTAGGTATGTGCCCTGATCGGAAATCAAACCCAAAACCATTCAGTATACAGGATGAGGTTCTAACCAACTGAGCCATACTGATCAGGGCAGGATTTTTCTTGTAAATTATATTCATTGTTTCAATATTATTCCAAAAATTGAAACTAATGACTCCTTCACTTTAATAGCAACTATTTACATTTTCCTGTGGCCTCTTTTGATCTTTAGCCAAAGAAATCGCAGTTTCTACGTATTTGCAATTACAGTGTTTATGTAATTGTTTTACTTTTTTCTTCTCTTTTTTTATGATACAGTTTTTTATTTGGGAGGGACATATTTGTGTATTTTTATATCTTTATTGGGTGACACTGGTTAACAAAATATATAGGTTTCAAGTGCACAGTTCCACAACACATCATCTTAAACTGTATTGTGTGTACACCATCCCTAGTCAAGTCCCCTTCCATCATCACCATTTTTATTTTTTCAGTTAATGTTATTTTGCAAAGACTTTCCCCTGACTTGATACACATTTATATTTGTGTTTTTAGTGAAGGGGAGAATATGCCATGTTGTGCCATAATTGGGTTAACTGGCTTTTTATTGTTGGACACTTTCATTGCTTCCTGTTTTTCAATATTATGAATAGCACTGCCATGAACTTTTTTATACCTGAAGCCTTTTTCTTCTTTTGAATTGTTTCCTTACTATAATTCTAGGAAGTGAGTTATTCAGTCAAAGGATATAATCACTTTTATGGCTCTTGTTATATATTGCCTAATTGCCATAAGGAAAAAAAACCCTAAACGTATGATGGCTTTGAATGGATATTGTTGTTTGGCTCCTGAGAACGGGGTCAAGAGATGGGCCCAAAGTGTAGCTAATTTGGAGTCAGGGTTTGTGCCCAGGATTCCTGGCTTCTGGTCTCATATCTTTTTTTTTTTTAAAAAAAATATATTTTATTGATTTTGTACAGAGAGGAAGGGAGAGAGATAGTTAGAAACATCGATGAGAGAGAGACATCAATCAGCTGCCTCTTGCACACCCCCTACTGGGGATATGCCTGCAACCAAGGTACAAGCCCTTGACCGGAATCAAACCTGGGACCCTTCAGTCCCCAAGCCAACGCTCTATCCATTGAGCCAAACTGGTCTTGGCTGGTCTCATATCTTTTATTGTTGTTGTTAATCTTCACTTGAGGATATTTTTCCATTGATTTTTAGAGAAGAGAAACATCGATGTGAAGGAGACACATCAATTGTTTGCCTCTTGCATGTGCCCCTACCAGAGGCAGGGATCAAGCCTGCAATTAGGTACTACATGCCCTTGACCAGAATCGAACCCCGGGCCCATCAGTTCATAGGCCAATGCTCTATCCACTGAGCCAAACCAGCTAGGGCCCATGTTTTTATTGTACTGAAAATACAACAGTGTTGTTGTTGGTAACACTAATAAATCTAAATATCAATAAGCCAAGTAGGCTTGTTACAACCTTAAGGGTAAAGCTTGGGGCTGAACGCATTCTCCCCCCCACCCCCAAAAAAAAGTTTATTTAGAAAGTCACAGAGTTAGAAGAAGTGAGCTGCAGAAGAAATGAGATAGGAAATAAGTTCCTGGGGGAAAAGGAAAAAAAGAAAATGAGCCCTTGGAGTTAGGAGAAAGAGGCAAATAAAACGAGCATGGGGGAGGACATGGGGAAAGGGAAGAGAGAGAGTGCATGAGACATTTAAAAAATGTGTTTATAAGGTGCAACTGAAGAATGGGGCCTTTCTTACACCTTGTTATTTACATGGCACAGTATGTACAGCCCTGCTGGGGCTGTAGGTTTCCTCCAGTGAAGTTCCTCTCACAAGGCTGCGTTGGAATTCATTTCAGGGCCAGGTTATGAGCCACCCCAAAAAATCTTCCTGGTGTCTTAGCATCATACCTTATATTTGACCATAAATGGTATTCCTGAGCTTGCGGCCCCACCTGATTCACCACACTTGGATCCAGATGATGTTGGGTGCTTTCCAGAAATAAAATTCTTCCTGGGAGGATGAAGATCTGCCAGCTCTGAGAACTTAGGGGGAAAAAAGGGGGAGGAGGGCTCTGGCTTTGAAGGCGATTCCCGAAGAAGACAAGTGGTGTGAGAAAACGGCCACCTTGTTGGCACAGCATAGGACAGGTTGAAAAAGATACAATATACATTTGTATAAGTCCCAGTCTCCTTAGTTAGAAGGTCATTTTTGTTATGCTTTAGTCACTCCTCTTTCATGTTGGAAAATGTTGCAAAGTAATAAGCTGTGGAGCCAAAGTGGAGAAAGGTCTTAGGACAGTCTTTAGCCAGAGCTATACCATAGGAATACAATGCAGGCCTCGGTGTAATTGTAAATTTTCTAGTAGTAACATTTAAAAAGTAAAAAGAAACAGATAAAATTATTTTTTGTTGTGATAAAATACACATAACATAAAATTCATTTTAACTATACAATTCAGTGGCATTCACAATATTGTATAACCATCACCACCCTCTATTTCCAGAACTTTTTCATTATGCCAAACTGAAACTTTGTACTCATCCCATCTAATAAAAGAGTAATATGCAAATTGACCATCATAAGCTGTGCCCACCAGCCAATCAGGAGTATGCAAATTAACCCCAAACCAAGATGGCTACAGCCATGGAGCAAGCAGGAGACTTGGGTTTCCCCGGCAATGGAGGAAGCCAAGCTTTCCACATACCCTGGTGGGCCCAGGCCTCCACTCCAGGCTACAAAGTTTCAATTATAGAAGGTAAATAAATCAAAACAAAAATGGTAGCAACCATGGAGTGAGCAGGAGGCTTGGCTCTGTTCAAGGCTACAAAGTTTCAATTATAGAAGATAAATAAATCCCAACAAAAATGGCTGCACCTATTGAGTGAGCAGGAGACTTGACTCCATTCTAGGCTACAAAATTTCATTTATAGAAGATAAATAAATCCGTGATATCAGGGCCTCTGTTTGGGTTGCTTGCGGGGGGGGGGGGGGGGTGAGTGACCAGCCTGCAAACCACCATAGTCCCTCGCTCAGGCTGTCCCACACCCCAAGGGAACCCCCACCCTGATCTGGGACCCTTCAGGGCAAACCAGCCTGACCCCCACCTGTGTACTAGGCCTCTATCCTATCTAATAAAAGAGTAATATGCAAATTGACTGTCACTCCAACACAAAAGATGGCTGCCCCTATGTGGTCAAAGATCCTGCCTCTATATGGACATAAGATGGCTGCCATAAGATGGCCAGCAGGGGAGGGCAGTTGGTAGGGACCAGGCCTGCTAGGGAGGACAGTTGGGGGTGATCAAGCCTGCAGGGGAGGGCAGTTAGGGGTGACCAGTTCTGTAGGGGAGGGCAGTTGGGGGTGACCAGACTTGTAGAGAATGACAGGGGGGACCTGGCCTGCAGGGGAGGACAGTAGGGGCAAACAGGTTGGCAGGGGAGCAGTTAGGCATCAATCAGGCTGGCAGGGGAGTGGTTAGGGGGTTATCAGGCTGGCAGGCAGAAGCGGTTAGGGGCAAGGAAGGCAGGCAGATAAGCAGTTGGGAGTCAGTAGTCCTGGATTGTGAGAGGGATGTCCGACTACCCATTTAGGCCCCATCCTCGTAGGGAGAGGGGAAGGTGGCAATAAGACATGCCTGGGAGGTGGCACTTTAGGGCTCAGCCTTGGAGGAAGAGCTTATTGCTCTCAGAGAATTACAGGCAGTTCTTTCAGTTTGACCAGGGTATTAGGAGTGGGGGGTCCCGCCGGAAGGACAGGCTGGAGGTGGGCTGAAGCCAGACCTTCCACCACTGCCTCTGTCATCCAAGTCTCCAGCATCTCTTGAGTTACTGGCAATAGCCTCCTCACTGATCTCCATGTCCACTCTGCACCTCACTTCCCCTCATTAGTGTAAATCAAGTCATGTCACTTCTTTGCTCAAAGTGGCTTTACATGTTAATCAAATCGAAAGTGTGAGGGTTCTCCTCTTTTCCTTACCTTTTTCCTCTCTCCCATCCTGAGCTCCCCTTTCTGGCCCTTTTGGACTCATATCCTTGCCCCAGGGCCTCTCACGTGCTTTTTTCTCTGCCTGGGATATGTGCCTTGAGATGTTCCTATGGTTTACTCGCACATGTCATATCTCTGCCACTTTATTCTAATCTCTCCTTCAGAGAGCACTTCCTGTCACTCTATACAAAATAAGTGATACCCTTCTTAAGTTTTTTTTTTTTTTTTTTAAACAGTTTTAAATAGCTGGTGTTTTACATCTGGATATGTTTTTGCCTCTTTCCTGAAATATAGACCCCATGAGAATAGAGATATGTCTGTGTTGCTCGCTCTTAAATGCTTGATGTTCAATAAGTATTTGTTGAATGAATGACTAGATGAATAAATGAACACATAAGAAACATAGCAGGCCTTCAGTAAATGTGTGTTGATTTGAGATTTTTGTTGAAGTGTTTGCATTTACTTACTTATTTTTTCCTAACTTTATAATTGGAAAAAATTCAAACATACCAAAAAGTTGAAAAAATGGTTCAATGATTATCCATATATACTCCACCTAGATTCAATAATTGATTTCACCACAATTGTTTTATATATTCTTGCATATATATATATATATATATATATATATATATACACACACACACACACACACACACACACACACGTACATGTGTGGGTGTGTGTTGTGTAATGGGACCGTTTAAAAGTCAGTTGTAGAAAATGACACTTACCCTTTGCCTTTAGGAGTTGGCTCTGGAGAGTGGGAGTCAGAGGAGACCTCAGATAGCAGGAGCCATGGCCTCCGACCTGGACTTCTCACCTCCTGAGGTGCCTGAGCCCACGTTCCTGGAGAACCTGCTACGGTATGGACTCTTCCTGGGGGCCATCTTCCAGCTCATCTGTGTGCTGGCCATCATCATACCTGTTCCCAAGTCCCACGAGGCGGTGAGTCCTTCCTTCTCTGTGTCCCTCAGCTCCTTAGCCTGGGTTCTGGGTAGTAAAAATAGATATCAGAGCAATGAAGATCAGCAGGGACTATGCTGGGCTTTACTGATAATGTGTCCCCAACTTCCTGCCTGGTGGCATTGAACCATGTAATTAATACTTTATTTGTTCACCTGTGTGTTAAGCAGATTTTTATTTAGTGTTACACTCTGCTAAAAGATGTGGTGTCTGTCCTCAAGGGCAGATGTGAGAAGTACAGGATGTTATGAGGGTGTATGGCTAGGTCACTTCTCCTCCCCAAGGGAGAGGGAACTCATGGGAAGTACCTGAGGAATAAGGAGGGGCTACTTCAAGAAACTGAATGCAGGTGATGGCGGTTAGAGCGCAGAGGGAACATGATGGGAGAGCTGCAGAAGAGTCGGCAGAGCCCAGAGGGTTTTAAGTAAAAGAATGACATGATCAGATTGGCTTTTTTGTTGCTTTGACTCTTATTCTATAGTTATACACCCTCCTTCCACCACCACCACCACCACCCTTACTTTTCTCAAGATATTAATATCTTGATGAAAGCAAGTCATTGTCATCTATGATATCCATATCCAGGATTTGGCTGATTGCGTCTCTGTGGTGTCACTTCCCTATTTCTCTGTTTCGCATATTTCCTATCAATAGAAAATTTGATATAGAGGCTTGCTTCAATTCAGATCAGGTTATTGGTGAGAACACCTCATAGCTGGTGCTGTGTACTTCCTGTCCTACGTCATCAACAGGCAGATGGTGTCTGCTTGTTACACATTTAAAGATTCTAGGATTGATCATTGGGTTAAGGTGAAGCTACTGATCCCTCTATTATAAAATCCCATAAGTCTTTCACCTAGATGGTTTTAGCACTCATTAATGATCATTGCTTAGATCCATTATTTCTTTCTCCATTTATTTTTGGAGTTTTTCATTGAGGAGGCCTTTTCCTTATTGCCTGTGTGGTTACTCTGAAATGCTGTTCATACTAAAAGGCAGGATTTATGCTTGTTGTCTTTCTCTTTTTTAATTTTCAGAGTAGTGAGTTTGGACTTTAGCAATCTCCAATTTTAACTAGTGAAGCTTTGGTTTTCATATATTTTGAACATATACTGTATATTTATATGTTTGTTATGTTTTAATTAATTTTAGGTGTTTTTTTAATGCTCAAATAGTCTGTGAGAGCTCCGTTTAGTTGTGTGAAATATTGTCTATCAGGAGAATCACCTGGGCTGAGGGTTGACCAACATTGGGAATTGATGACTTGTAACTGAAGCCAAAGGAGAGGATGAGGTCTCCTAAGGAGAAAATATGGAGGGGCTTGAGGAGCTCTAGCACATAGGGAACAGGCAGGGAGGAGCAGTGTGGGGGCGGGGAACCTTGGTAAACATGGATAGGCTCTAGGCCTCTGGGTTGTTCTGTCCATCTCTATTTCTTATTCTGGTATTTTGAGAAGGAGGTCATGATTGGAGTTTTTCCACCCCCAATTGTATCACATTCTAAAAACCTAATCCCTGTGTTTTGGAGCTTTGTCCTCAGATATGACATGCTATTGGGCATTATAAATAATAAACATTTTTACTGTCATTGGCCATGGTGAAGCCAGCTAAGAGTCCCAAAGGAGGAAGGTGATAAATGTTCTTGCTCTGTAGGCAGAGGTGTAAAGTCAGAGGTGTGTGACCTTTTGGGGAGTTGATGATTGTGTCTTCACCCTACGAGGCTAGCCACAGAGGCCTGGATCGGGTTAGCGAACTTTCAGAAAGGGGTGCCTCACTGCTCTCTGAGGTTTTCAGTGGTGCAGTGGGTTGAGGTCTTTCGAGGCAGGGAGTTGATAAAGCGTTTATAGTATGCCTCCATTCTCCCTCCCTTGACTTACCCTGCCATTTAGAGATTAATTTGGGACAACAATCTCATCTTTTAAAATATAAATATAGTACTACATAAGCTTTAATTTAGGAGGAGTGAGGCTTACATGAGTGAATTGTCTTCATAAGGTTTTAGCTTTACCCCCAATATTCCAATGGAACAGTAACAAAAAATACAGTACCATTTATTTAACTAATTACTGGTGCATCAATAGCAAATGGCCCCAGTATGCCAGCTTTCCTCTGTGTGCCTCCATAATTGCAACTTTCTCTCACTCAGACTCCTGAAGAAATGGAGAGAGAACACAATATTCTGTGCATAAACAATCTTACAAAGAGAGAGAGAGTGCTAGTGGGATTTGGAATTTGGATGGGGAGGGGGAAAATAGGGGGGGATGACTTGGGGCTAGGCGGCTCTGAGGAAGGAAGGGAGTCTGTTGGAATGGGGACAGTTTGTGGGACTCCAGACAGTCCAAGGGCAGGAGGCGGGTACCTGGAAGTGGAGGGTGGCCGGAGGTGGGAGAAGGCAGGAGTGGAGGTGGGAGGATCCAGAGAACAATCTTGTTCATTTTGCTTTGTTGCTTGTGGCAAAATCATGTCTCTTGCTTGGCCTATAGAAAGAAACAAGGTTTATTAGTAGCTTTTGGGTCAGAAGATAATATTTTTGGCTCCAGATGATGGGAAAGCCTTTGCAAAGCAAAAGAATGTCTTTCCTGTTGTTCCAGTAAGCTGATTTTTTGCAACTAGTTTATGACTTCAGTACTTCAATACTTAGGAGATTATTTGAAAGCTCTTTTGAGGGTAATCAGGGAAGAAAAAGGAACACATACAAATACTTCCCACACCACCCCCTTCCTTTTCATATTAGGAGCAAGAACCAATTGGTAAAATCAAAACTAAAGGTCCTGGAATCCTAAGCCAAATGAGGACACCCCCTCCCCCCCATTGACACCTCATTAAACTAAGACTCGAGAAAGCAAACATTTGTTTAAGCGTGAGCTGCCCCCATAGAATTTTTGATTCAGTTGTTCTCTGAGGCTCTGGCTTAGTAGTTTCTTCAAATACCCAGGTGATTCTGTTATGTAGCCATTGGAATAGTCCTTAGACCAGTGGTTCTCAACCTTTTAATGCCATGACTCTTTAATATAGTTCCTCATGTTTTGGTGGCCCCTAACCATAAAATTATTTTCTTTGCTACTTCATAACTGTAATTTTGCTACTGTAAATATCTGTGTTTTCCGATGGTCTTATGCTCTACAGCAGTGGTTCTCAACCTGTGGGTCATAACCTCTAGCAGGGTCGCCTAAGGCCAAAAATGTCAAAAATGTGACATTTTCATGTTCGTGCACATTTTCTGGGAAGATAGTTCAAAGCTTTTCTCAAAGTGGAGTGCTGTAATTTAATGAGGTGGGAGCCCAGATCCAGGAATTTCAAGAGTAGCTAAAACATTTACATTACAGTGTTAGGTGTAAAATGATAGCAAGATATCCAAGTGAGAATTTGGGAATTATTTTATCAGCATAGCATTATTTCTTAAAACCCTAAGAATGAATTGTTAAGCTTTTCAGGGGAAATGAAAATTCAGGAGAGGCCTGAACTTAAGGCAATGCCTGCACTACTTGAAGTAGCTTCTGTGCAGTGTAGATGTTCTGATAAGATGGAGGTGCTGTGCCCAAGCAGCAATGCAGCTGGGCCTCTGAAAGGGGTGGGAACCTGGGACCCCATCACTCACCATCTGCATCTCCTTGGCTTCTCCTCTCTGTCTCCTGCCTTTCACTTCTCTTACCTGGGCCCTGCTTCCTCTGTGTGCTGTCGTTGTGGTTAAGAAAAATCATGGCCACTAATAGCTCCCAGAGCTGAGGTCCTTCAGCTGCAACATCTGGAGGCTGCCTTCCTGCTTGGTCCCAACTTCAAAATCCCTAGAGAAGGAACTGTAGCGGCCTAACTTGGGACAGCTATGGCCAGTGTGGGAGCTATGGTCCTGTGGCGTGACCTTTGGGAGCGGAGGGAAAGGTCATTTCTCAAAGGAGCAGGAGCGCTGTGCAGACAAAGCAGGGGTCTGCATTCCTCTCACTCTCTCAGGAGACGGGGCTGAGCATTGGGCAGACAAACAGGAGACTGTGGTCTCCCTGAAAACCACCCAGTGGTTCAAGGAGAGCACGTGGAAAACCCAGTCCCCACAGAGACTGGGTGATGAAAACAATTGCGTGATTGAGGAGAAGCTGCTCAGTTTGACGACAATGCTGTGTTCAGGCTGCTCGAGTTCTTAATGGGGAGTTCCTGAGTCCCTAGGGGATCCCTAGCAAGGCTTTAGGAGTCTGAGCTCCCTACAAAAATGGGACATTTTCATGTTCATGCACATTTTCTGGGAAGATAGTCCAAAGCTTTTCTCAAAGTGAAGTGCTGTAGTTTAATGAGGTGGGAGCCCAGATCCAGGAATTTGAAGAGTAGCTAATAAGATAGTGAAGGTAGGGAGCCCTCTCCCCTCTCCTCCTGGAAGCCTGCCTGAGCTGACTCCCAAGCCTCCTTTGGACCAGTTTCTACACACAATATGGATCCCCTCACCCCTCAGCCAGCGGGTGTGTCCTTAGTTCAGCGACTCATGCAGCAGGTAGTAATAGTTCATCTGGCAGTTAATCAATCATAATACTCCTAGTAGTTTAAATGCTGACTGTTCTAATATCTTCAGATGTTTAGGTCACATCTCCCCAGACACCCGGTGCCTTCATTTTCACTCTGACGTCTTTGTGGATTGCCACAGCCTCTTCTTGTATTTATGGGGACACTTTCTGTTGAAAGTTCAGAAACTCAGCTCCAGCAGTTTCCCCAGAAAATGGTATTGGCCCTTCGAACTGGGAATTTCAAGGCACAGCTGGGTTCAGAGGCTCGATAGGGCTCTGTTGGTCTCTTCATTCCTGGAGGATTTCCTGCAGGTGTTGACTTCATTCTCAGGCCCTTGCCATGTGTCAGGAAGTTGGCTGCAGCGGCCCCAGTCTGCATCCAATTGCTCGTTATTTATAAGCAAGAGGGGCCATTTCTCTAAGCCCCTGACTAAACTCATGCAAGACCTCTTCTTCACAAGCTTGCACCTTCTCCACAGGTGGGAAGGGCAATGGG